CGGCAAAAACCTGCAAGTTGATATGTGGTTGTAGATTCAAGCAAGAAGTGTTTAGAAAAACCCTAGAGTTTTATTATCAACTTTATGTGGGACTCATATGATAAGGAGTGTAATCAAATGCTATTATCTAAAGCTACTCTGCAGATCAGTTACAATATGTAAATATTTGCAGCTCTGTACAACGGAAGTCCAAATTTTCATATCTCAAATGTGGAAAAAGAAACATATCGTTGAAAGTCAAAGAGATTGTTTTTATGTGCTGAAACTAGGCAAGTCTAGGCGATGTTATAATTAGGAGTTGGGCACCTAATTCCCTCTATAAAAAGATATACATTGAGGACTGTAAAGGGCCACAGGCCACGGCTTATAAGAACTCATACGTTTACGTTGCTTTGTTATTCTAGAATTTGGAGACAAGCAGGCACAAGGACAGCTGTATTGATCCAATTTATTATATAGCAAAAAATAAAGAATCACAAGTATAACTGCAAATGGTTGTTTTATATCACTTCATACATGGTCATGGGGATGTGTAAAGCCCAATACATGGCACACTGCTCAGACATGGAACATAAACTAGAACTACAGCACGCACCAAGTGCATCACACAGATCGAGTTCAGGCTAAGGCTAACACAGTAGCGATTCGTTTCCAGGAAAAAGGTGTCAACACTGCATTCAAGTTCAGACAACAATGGCAGAAATTGCGCTTTTTGAGCACTGCAGAACTAGACACAAATCCTACAAGTGTGCAGCCACAAACAATCTACATAGACACATCAAGTAAAAGATTTACTACCAATACAAGTTCGTCAGATAGGCACCATTGAAATGGAAATCATACATAAAAACAACATACAACACTTGAATCCAGTTCAAATTAACAGCCGCCGATGGATCCATTCCAGCGGAGAGATCAAATTGACAGCCGCCGTACCCAATCGGAGCGGACCAAATGGACCCAAAGGCGCGAGAAGCGATCAACATGGACCAAATCAAGAGAGGAAGGGCTCACCGGTTGCTGGGAGGCAGGGGCGCAGGGTGGCTGGGCCTCCGTAAGGTGGTGGGAGGGGCTTCGCGCCGGGGGCCGGGCCGGGAGTCGCGCCGGGGCGCCGAGAAGGCGGGGGCCGGCGGGGGCGTCACGAAAAGGCGGGGGCCCGGCAACAGGGGGCGGCCGTCCGACGGCGGCCTGACTGCAGGGGGTGGTGGCCTAGCGGCCGAGGGCGGTCCGGCGGCGCGGGGTGGTGGGTGGCGCTCCGGCGGCCGAGTGCGTGTGTGTGCGGGTGAGTGTGTGATTGTGTGTGAGTAAGTGTGCGGCCGGATCGGGTAAAAACCAAAGGGCTTTTGGCGAGTGCCTGCGATTTGGCACTCGACAAAGTAAAGTTATGCCGAGTGTCAGATCCAAAACACTCGGCATTGTTTTTTTCAATTTCCCAACCGGTACGGTACTGGTAAGTGGGGCCGGCTTGGGTATGTTGTCGAGTGTCCACTATATGACACTCGGCAACTATATTGTTTGCCGAGTGTCGTACAGTTAACACTCGGCAAAATAAATTGATATTTCATGCCCACCCATTCTCCTTCTTCATAACGTGTTTTACTAAATTTGTTACGATGTAATTTAAAAATACCTTGTTAAATTCACTCAACAATGCATATTTGATTTTTCTACGAATATTAATCCATTATTTCATGCAGTTATAGCTCAAATTCAATATATATCAATTAAAATTCTATAATTGCAGTTAATAAATTAAAATTATCAAACGGATCAAAAAATTACCAAAATTTTGTGAACCAATCTATGTTGTCTATTGTCTATACAAAAAGTTTTGAAGTCAAACCCCAATTCGACCGTCACTTTGACTCCAAATCTTACCGGATCCTTCTCAACGCTATGATTCTTCTTTAGAGATGCTTCGGTTTGTAAAGGTTGTACGTGACAAATTATGCGAAACCTTCTCAATTTTTTTCCATAGTCTCCACGTATGATATCATGAGATTTTGACAAATCTCGTCATTTTCAGACTTCGTTTGCTTTTTTTAGAATTTAAAAACCATTCGGCCACAAGTTCGTGGTCGTGTTTCCTGAACAAAATGTTTGAAAATTCTTTTCATCTCCTGAGTAAGGCCCCCAAAATGGACTCAATAACATGAATATGATTTCTCCACTCAATTTATTCCATTATTTGAATCACTTGCGGTTCAAATTTGACTTAAACCAAAAAATTCTTCTAAATGAAATAAATTAATTAAATATAGCAAACAGATAGAGAAATATGCCAAATTTTAACATGTAGTACCACATGTTGTATGTGGAGAGTAGAAAAAGTTTGGAGGGCAGGAGAGGAAAAAAATTATTATTTTGCCGAGTGCCAATAAAAAACACTCGGCAAAAATATCATTTTACCGAGTGTCAAACAAAAACACTCGACAAAAATATCAGTTTGCCGAGTGTCAATAAAAAACACTCGGCAAACCTTGTCTTTGCCGAGTGTCTCTAACGGACACTCGGTAAAGTTATAACGGCAGGGTGGCGCACCCAACGGCTGTCACATGGACGCCGCACGCCCAGCGCACGTGCCTCTACTTTGCCGAGTGTCCGTGTTTGCCGAGTGTTTCGTTGTAGTTTGCCGAGTGTTTTTTATTAGACACTCGGCAAAGTTGGGTTTTGCCGAGTGCTATATGTTTGTCGAGTGTTGAATTAAAAACACTCGGTAAATAGTATGGTTGAATTAAAAATACTCGGTAAATAGTATGTTTGCCGAGTGCCCGATAAAATACACTCGGCAAACCCTCAAGCGCTCGATAATTCTACTATTTCCGGTAGCGCAGGCAAATTTGCATAGCTCTATGTGACCCTCAGGCGTTGGATTTTGAGCGCCTAGGGTGGAGATCTCTGCCTGGGTGCTCTCCGCTTAGGAGGCGTCGAAGCAAACAAGCCCTATATAGGTGAATTATTGTAATCACATATTGAGCTGGCCGCTTTTTGTTCAAAAAATAAAGGTACTACTACTACTTTGATGTCATTTTCATTTTTTTTTATTACAGATTAGAAGCGGGTATGAGAAAGAACAGACTGGTGGAGGTGTCGGCTAACATACGCGAGGCGGCTCCTAATAATGAATAAAGTTTGTCAAACTGTAGTTAGGTGATATTGGAGTAAGGACTGTATTGATGTTCACCTTATGTAAACTTACTTCCGTTTTCACAAGAAATTGCCTGGTATACATATCAATGTCTGAAAGAATTCAGACAAATTGAGTAAATGCGAAGACAAGCACACTAAAGCAAGTAGCTAACTGAGTGATGTTTAATTGGAAGAAGCATAAGTAGGACACTACACTAGAAACTACTACGAGATCGATAAGCTATTCTAAGTGATGTGTACATCATGCAGGAAATAGCACTCTTGTCCGATCTTTGTTATCCAGCTTCTTCAAATTTTCCATACGCTGACCATGATCTCAAACCCTCCCAATACTAGAGTGCCGAGCATTTTATACTATGATGAAACAGGGGACCATGTAAGAGCAGAAAATCCAATTCAGTGACAATAAAATTGATCTGGAAGCAATTGCTTTCACTACTATAGTTTTGATTTGTAGAGGCGGCTAGCTGCCTTTATAGAAATGGTTGGGTCAGCCGCCTCTCCTATTTTGTCTCAACAATTTTGTAGAGGCGTATGTATTTTGAGCCGTCTCTACGAATCGTTGTCCAGAAATTACAAATTTGTGTCGAATAAAATAGCCAAAAAAAAAGAACCAAAAAATAGCAAAAAAAAAGTTTTTAATCTCGGGAGACCCCAGTGGGCACCCAGGATTCGTAGAGACGGCTCTACATGTGCACGTCATCATAAGTCACGAGATTTTTCGCGCTGCGTGGCTACCGGCGCTCGAACCCGCTCCACCCATACAACATTTAATTCTTGCATTGTATTGTGATCAGATATGCCATATGAACTATATAGTTTTGATATTGTTATAAATATTAGCATATTAGACTTTGGTAATTTTGGTAAATAAATATGTTTTATCATACATGACCATATCTTATATTTAAAATTTCATATCGACAAATAAACATTGTAAATGAAAATTGTGCTTATATTTTCGCCATTGCTGGCCGCACGAGATTGGAAGAGATGACAACGCTGGTCTCAGTGTTGGTTTTATTTCCTTTCCAAGGCTTTCCAAACAACGCTGACAAGTTTCATACTCATGAAACTATGTTTCCTCCCCCTCTTTATTAAAACTTTGCTAAATCACTATTTTGTTGAGTTATTATCCTATTTATTTAATACCATAAACTCTAATGACATGGGACTGAACTAAGGAATCGTCGGACGGATTTACTCACAGCCATGATCAGCGACGGAGCCAGCGGTGGGGCTAGGGGGGCTCTAGCCCCCCCTACCGATCCTAGGCACATGGAGCCCACCTAAGTCCTCTCTTAAAATTTTATGCATATATGTATTAGGTAGGAGGAGCTAAGCTTGAGAGAATAAAAAAATCTCTATTATTTTGTTCAGCCCCTCTTAATTTTTTTTTCTGGCTTCGTCCTGGCCGTGATAACCGTTAGGATAACGATGCCTGGTTACTCAGAGCGCAAGGGGTCAGGCGGGGCGAGCGACGCTGACATGCCATCCGGTGCCTGCTGCCGCTGGCGTGGCTACAGTCCGGTGCCTGCTGGAGTTGCAGCGGCGAAAGGTAACTGCTGCTCAACGCCCATGAATTAAGAGGGTCACACTTATGGCATTTGCAAATGCAGTGCTTAAGCAAAACACGCACAATGAAAACAGTTCACAAAATTCGCATTGCAATGGTTCCCAGGAAATCGCCATATACGAAATCAACCTTGGGAGGGAACCCTAAACCAGGGTCTAAGCAACAGAGACTATAAATACCAACTGCCATCCATGTCTTAGATGCACGCCATCCATTACTAATACACTGGGCAATCAATATGGAAAGTCCCAGTCCACCAAAAGAGCACACGGAGATGTCCCAGCTGAGCCCTGCTGGCCGCCTGGCCACGACGTTCCTCCTCATCCTCCTTGCCGCCACCGCCGCCGCCGCAGTCTCAGCTCAACAAGTCCCACAAGTCCCAGGTCCTCATGATCCACAAGCCCCAGGCTGCCAGAATGACATCGACGCACTGTGGCGCACCTGCAAGCAGTTCGTCCAGAAGGAGGGGCCCAAGCAGCCTCCGTCCGAGGGCTGCTGCAAAACCCTCAAGGCCACAGATGCCGATGCGTCCTGCATCTGCGACTATCTGAGCTCCCCCGACGCCAGGAACAAGCCTGGAGAAGGTGTTCTACGTTACCAAACAGTGCGGCGTCACTATCCCTAAGGGCTGCGGTGAGTAGCTTGGTCAATGGTCTCATGTGGGAACAGATGCTGACAATGACATGCTGGCCAGCTAACAGTAGCAACCAGAGCGGGTCCGGCATGTCAACGTCAGTCACCTTCGTTTCCCACGTGGCACGATCTTGGACAGATAATATTCTATCACCAATCAGACAAGTAAACAGGGGTATTTACAAGGATAGCGCAACTTGAAACCACAGGTTAACATAGCAAAACAATCTTCTACTCAGCAACTGGTGTCAAGAGCAAGAATTGCTCAACTCAACTGCATATAAATAAATAAATTGTTAGATTTTCAATCCTCTGGTAGTTATGGGCTATATTATACATAGATTAAGCATGACAAATCTCGTCTGTTATCATTGCTTCTACTGGCCTAATTTTGTGTCCTTTTTCACTATAGGATCAATCCAGGCCTGAAGAACGAACTGGCCGAATCTGAATGGAGCAAGTTGGCTAACATATGCAAGACAGCTACAAATACTTAAAGCAATAAATAAAGTTGGTCAACTATTGGTTTGATGATGTTGGAGTACAAGAACTGTACTATTATTCACATATATAAACTCGTTTTTTTTCTCGAACTACACAGGAGAGCTGCGAGTCATTTCATTAAGATAGAAAAGAAAGTACATAGAGAGGGGGAGAGCCCCCAGACTAAGTACCAAACACACCCCCACATATATAAACTCTAGTTCATCACATAATATAAATCTGTTCGAAAGCCGAAAAACATAGATGACTCATGGGACTGTTGGAGAAGCTTATTTTCTTCCTAACATCCAGTTTCTGATTCAACATAAACAAACCAAAAAGGAACAAGTACAAATATCCATATTCAAAACCAGCTTACTTACAATTTGGATTTATTCCACAGAGAATGATTGCTCAAGTTTATTTCAGTCAACAGTTTGGTTTTCTTCCATAATAATTTCTAAAACTAGTTAAAGACTGTAATTTTGACAGCAACATGTGGGCTCTAGTATGCGTAATTGTATTGAACAAATGCTGCAAATGTGTAGACCATATTATGCCTACCAGGATACCACTTAATTGCTGATTTTCCTTACTGAATTAGAATGTTGTTCTAAATATAACTGCTATAAGCAAAGTCTGTTTCTATAATAACTTCAGACAGGGTTACAAAGGGAACAAGCACAACCATGATGGGAACATTTTTGGGGAACAAACAGAATTTTTGAAAATTGGACAGATCCAATTCTGATGAACAAGTAGAAGATCTCTGAAATACTTCCGGAACTTTTATTTATCAATATTTGTCCAATCTTGACTAGTAAAATATACTGCTAATATTTAAAACAATCACACTTAGAGATTCAGAAAACTAGATACATTCACAGATGCAGAGCAACCAGCAACGTGTCTATATTTGCCAAACAGGGACTGGCAGCCTGGTTTTGGTTACAAACAATTTTCTAGGAATTAGGCAGCTATAATCCTATAATTTCTGGTTGACTTTGCTCAACATACTGACAAACATAACAAAAATGAAATTTCTGAAGAAAGTAGAATTCATTTCACAATACTGTAAACTCGGTGGAATAAGATATAGAATTAAGTTACAAAACTACAACTATCTTGACCATTGTAACAAGGAACCACAACTATGGCGCCCATCATGAAATGATGAAACCACAGCTACTTGTGCCCTTGGTAACACGAAACTACAACTGCTAGAAAACCGTAACAGAACAGGAGCATGGACCCTCCTGTCAGCCTAATACTGCAGTAGCAACCCCATTAGGGTCGACACACTGTTTCATTACAGTTTTTATTAAAAGTTGTAGTTCCTTCGCACTGAGTGCACAAGTAGCTGTGATTTTGTGAAATGGACACCAGGAATTATAGTTTCTTGATGCTATAGTCAGAACAGTAGTTGTTTTGTATTAACTCTTAAGATACAAACGGCAAAAAAAAATCATGGCCAATATGTTCTGTTTCAATGTCTCATGAATTTATAATTCAATAACCCCAACTAATTTCATAGACAAATAGATGACTTCATATGTACAGACTAAAATGTAACATACCTCACAAGAGCAATCACAGATGATGGAAATAATCCTACTCTAATTACACATTGCAGCAAAGAACTACTAACCCATGCCAATGATCCCATCTCCAACATCACCTGGAGGCCCTGGACTGGAACAGCTCGAGCCTCGCTTTGGCATCTGGAAGCAACGCCTCAACACGCGTGTCCTGCACCATGTGAGCCTGCTTTGATGCCCAAAGCAGCACGGCCAGCACACCAGCTTGTGCGAGTTCCTCGCTCTCAGGCACATACAATGCAATGTAACAGAGTAGTATCAGCGCCTCATTCTGCACGTCGTCGCCAAGGTAGACAAGCTGGACAAGGTGGCGCGCACCACCATCATCAACAATGGCCTTGCAGTGGTTCACATGTAGGTGGTTCTCAGTGCACGCAAACTTGGTGAGGGCAACAACAGCCTCCTTTATGACTGGAGGCTCACGCTCATCGAGAAGCTGCACAAGAGGGGCCACTATCCTGGTCTCACTTGCAGTGAAGGTACGAGAAAGGCAGCCAAGGGCTGTGATGCATGGGAGAAGCAATGCATCGTATTCACCCCTGCGGACAACACGAAGCAGCTGATCAACAACAGCCTTGGCTGCTGGGGAGCTGGGTTTGAATGCTGATTGCCGCAGCACGAGGCTGTGTTCAGCAACACGGGCAATCTCCATGATTGCCATTGCTGAGAAGTACTGCACATTAGTGCCCATATCGCCATCACCCTTCTCAAGGAGCACAGCAAAGCACAGTAGCGCGCGTGACTCTGTAACGCTCTTGCACACACCCAAATGGTTATGAGCAAGCTTCCACAAAGCTTTTGCCGCCATAGCCTTCAAATGTGCCTTGGTTTCAGGATCCTCCACCTCACGAGCACCACGGCCACTGGAGCCACTGGTGCCCAGCTGAGGCCTGAACGGCGGAACCAATGAGCCATTTGTGTTTGTCTTGGCAGCCATAGCCGAGTGTACCACCGACTGCATTTGGGGGTTCCTTTTTGTGTCTTGATCGCCTCCTGGTGTTCCATTGGACATCCTTGGCGGCTCATCGGCGCCACCGCTGGAGATGTCGCGGTCACCGCTGTGGCGCATGCTCAGCGTCTTGGCAAGCACCACCGAGTGGAGTGACTTCATGGGCTGCTGTGTTGTGGCAGCAGCGGCTGCGCTGTTCTTGGAGCTGCTGGAGCCGACGGAGTACCGGCTGTGCTCCTGGATAGTCCCGGAAGCGAGGTGTCCAACAAGGTACCGGACGGCATTGTTCTGCGCGAAAAGGTCCTGGCAGGTGGAGCTCCGGTCAGCCAGGGACGCGATGGCCTCCGCCACAGCAGCCTGCACGCGCATGGGCGGCTCCTTGAGCGCGGTGGCGAAGGAGGAGCAAACCCCGGCCTGCACGAGCTTGTCGACGCTCTCGGCGTCACAGCCCAGGAGGCCCAGGGCGCGTGCGGCGGCCTCCTGGCCCTCGTCGGTGCCGTCCTTGAGCAGCTTGAGCAGCGGCGGCACGCCGTCCTCCTCGATGATGAGCTTGGCGAAGTGCTGGTTGTCGCGGGCGAGCGAGGCGAGGTTGACCGCCGAGTCAGCGCGGGCGGCCGGTGAGCCCGTGTGCAGGCGCGCAACATGGTCCCAGATGAAGAAGAGGATGGGCTCGTTCTGCGCGATGTTGGGGAGGCCGAGGAGCGAGTCGTCGTCCCCGTCGCCGGTGGCGCCAGGCGAGGAGATGCGGAGCAGCCACGCGACGTCCTCGAGCGCCGTGTCGAGCGCCGCCAGGGCCCGGGGGAACCCGGCGGCGGGGCTGAGCGTGAAGAGGCTGCGCAGGCGCGGGTGGCCCCGAGCGCAGCGGGCGGCGAGGGCGGAGGCTCTGGACAGCGCCTGGGTGGCCCCGGTCAAGATGCGGGCAGCGGGGCGGTCGTAGAGTTCCGGCGCCCGCGCCGCCTGCCGCAGCAGCGCCGCCAGCTTGTCGGCGCGGGCCTTGAGGTCGGCGCACTCGAAGCGGAAGCTCCGCGCGGCAGCGCACTGCTTGGCGACCTCGTCGGCCAGCTGGATCGGCGGAGCCAGCATCTCCTTCACCCCCTCCCCCATCTCCGCTCTCCTCCCCAATCAAAGAAGCGAAGAAACCGGCGCCTCGGCTTGGGTGGTCGGGGACTGCGGGTGGAGAATTGGATGGAAACGCGCGCGGATGGTGCGATCTGCGAGGGAGCAGGGCGAATTTGGGGGATTCCTCGTGGGGTTTTGCGGATGGTTGGTAGTGGTGGGGTGGGTTTGGTTTGGTTGGGGAAGAGGAGCGGCCGCAGCGTCAGCGAAGGGAGGAGGCTGCGGTTGCGGTTGGAGCTGGAGGAGTGGCTGGTGTGCTGGACCAGGGCTGGACCGGGGCAGCGGCTGGGTCGACTGTGCGGTCAGCGCGTGGGGCCGGGACATGGGTAGGTGGGGCCGGCGGCGGACCGTGCGCTACCTGGCCGTGGACTAGGCCTTCTGTTCATCGCGGTTTCTGTGGAGATTCCAAGAAGAAGGGAGAAGTGGAGCGACAATCCAAAAGTGTGAGACGGGGCCGGCGTTTTTTTTCCCGAAATGCTACGACGTATATTTTAGAAAAAAAAAAACACACGACGAGTGCATGCGGCAGCACAGCACAAAGCAGTGCGCTTTCTACGCTTCGACTGTCCTGAGCGACTTCTGCGCCTCGACTCCCTCCTTCACGCATGGAGAATCGTGCCTGGCCAGGGGCCTCACGACGCGACGACCCATGACGAACGGGCAGGCAATGGAACCAACCGCTCTGTAATTTGTCTTTTCATAGAAAAAAATTTGTTTTATATGACATGTGATCTTGTGATTGTCTGAAGATAGAAGAAGGCTAGAGATAGAAGAAGGATAGAGGCTGTTAGATCTTAATCTTATGTGTCGGGTACCTTAGAACGGGGTACCCCAAGCAAACATCAAAACAAAGCTAGAAGGTAAGCGTGGGCCCATCACACCGCCACGGCCAGAGCCCTCCAACACCTCGCCTCGTGCCTCGGCAGGAGGTCTCGGAACGAACTCCGCCTCGCGTGAGGCTCCCAGTGGTAGGCCCGGCAGGGGCGCCGAGCCTCGGCGGGGGGATGATCTCTCCGTCTCGCCTCGCCCGAGGCTATCCAGGGAAGGCCTCGGCGCAGAGGCCTCATTCTCCGTGATCGCGAGGCCTCATTCTCCGTGTCGCTCGAGGCCGGCTCGTCCACGATCCGTCCGCCCCGTCTCGGCCCGACCCTCCCAACAACTCATCATGTCTCATTAATGCTTCAACCACTCCCATAATCTCGGCCGGACGGTGGCTCAACGCCACAGGATGGCCGACGCGACCGAGGTCGCATCGGTGCTCCATACCCGCCGGGACAGCCACATTGTGTCCTACCACTATGTCCACGACCGGCACCATACCGACCGGGAAAGTGCGACGGGATTACCGACCACCTTGTGTCCAAACGCTGTACCCATGATCGGCCGCCGCTAGCTCAAGGGCTCAAGATCATGCACCGAGGCCTCGGCGATCTTAGGGTTCGTGCCTGCCGAGACCCCCCCCATCGCAGTGCCAGCCTCGGCATCGACCAAGCCTCGGCATCGCGCACAATCCATCCACAGTGGCTTGCACGTTCGCCGCCGCATCCACTCCGAGGCATTCCCGGGGCTCCCACGACGCACAGGACCTGATGGGATGACCACGCCGCCCCAGTACTCCAAGGATGGACCACTCCGACGGCCACGCCGCCACAGGAACAGGGTACAGGGCCCGGACACGCCGCCTCTGTTCACACGACGCCGTATAATCAGCTCATGTACCGCCCAAGTCCTCCCTTCATGCTATAAAAGGAGAGGACCTAAGTTGTTTTAGGAAAAAGAGGGACACCTTGTAACACACACGTACACTCCTGCCGCCGGAGAGCAATGTCTCAAGCGGCCCGCACGGCACCCTGCCAAGACCTAGGACCAACTCCTTCTCTCCTTTAGCTTGTAACCGCCTACTACGAGCACCTCGGTGCAAGGAATACAAGATCGATCTCTCAGACTGGAAGTAGGGCCTCGATTGCCTGAACCAGTATAAACCTTGTGTCTCTTTGCATCACCATCCGGATCGGGAGCATGCAGAACAAATTCACTAGTTGGTTGAGGACCCCCGTCCAAAACACCGGCGATTATTGCACGCGCTGTAGGGGTGTCTTTGCGTGTCGGTTTTCATCCCAAGCATGTTCCGGATGGCAGACCATGTACGACCATTGTGTCTCGGCATCGTGGTTTGGTTCGGGAGCCTAGAGTTCATGTCTCTAGGGCATGAGTACGACTTGGTGCTCCTCCCTCCTCGAGCCCCACCAACCAACGATGAAGTTACGCCCCGGCAGCCCAGGCGCGGGCGGCGTCCGGGCGGCCATTCTCGCCGCACTCGCCAAGCACGGCACGAACAAGGCCACCCCGATGCTACGCGAATCCGGGGCAACACGCCACCCCCCGCCGATATCCTACGACCAGCTGTTGGCACAGGGTCCCTGGCTGGGGACCTGTCTAGCCTGAGCTTGGACAAAGGAAACTTGCCTGTGGCACGCGGCGATGCCCAGTCGTCAAGCTCCGCTCCACCACTCCCTGAAGAGCCAAATCCGGCGGGGCAGAATCTGGAGACGGCACTGTCCCCATACCCTTTTGGGTTGAGAAATGCCGCCGCCTCGTACGCCTACGCTTGCTCTATTGCTCACGAGCACCCCTCGGAACGCCGCCAGCGCTTCGCTCTCGACCTGAGCACCCACTCCGACTTCTCGGACGAGGACGAGGCATGGCCCGGGGTGGATTTTTCCGGACTCCACAACCCTAGGGCTTTGCGCCAGTTCTTGGCTGCGAGCGACTACTGCTTCGGCTACTCCGACTCCGACGACGAGGGCACCTACGACCCCACTCGCGAATGTTTTCATGTCAGGTCGGGATGCCGAGAGCGGGCGAAGAGGACGAGGGGGTAGCGTTCCCGCCGCCGCCGCGCTGCAAGGCGTCGCCACCTCCACACACGCCGTCCCCACCGGCCACACGAGATGAGAACGTCGCTCTTGCGCGACCTCAGCGCCCAGACCTAGAACAGCTCCGTGAGCTCCAGGCCAAGGTCGAGCAAGACCAACTCCTTCTACAAAGAGCTTCGAGACTCTCTCAAACAGAACAATGAGGTCATGGCGAAGGCGGGGAGCCCGACGGAGGGCCCTCGGCGTGCATCACCGCATCCATAACGCAGCGAAGGAGCGAGCAACCCTCGATCTTCAATCGCGCTAGCCAGAATGTCACGGCTGCGGCGATGCTGGTTCGCGCAATGCCCGAGCCTTCTACCACGGAGGGGCGGCGGGTCCGCGGCGAACTCCGAGACCTCCTAGAGACCGCCACGGTTCAGCAAGCCGAGAGTTCTGCCTCCCGACGGCACTGGGGCGTCTCGAACCTACCCGCGGCACCACCTCGACAGGATAGGGAAGCCTCGGCTCGTCCTGAACCTGCTCGAGCACCGATAGCTCACAGGGTCCCCATGCTCCTTGACCGCCTCGACAATCGACACGAGGGGCAGGGAGACCATGAGGTAGTCGGCCGACGACGACGCCACGACGGTGAGGGGCCCGCCCGAGGCTACCATGTGCACCGAGGTAGCCGCTACGACAGCGAGGAAGACCATAGCCCGTCTCCTGAGCCACCTGGCCCTCGAGTCTTCAGCAGAGCTATCCATGTCGCCCAGTTCCTGGCCCGTTTTCGGCAACCAGCCAACCTCGCGAAATACAGTGGTGAGACCAACCCCAAACTCGGCTTGCGACTACACTCATGGCTCGCTGCCTAGGTAGGTGGCGCGGACGATGACCTGCTCATCATCCGTAACCTCCCTTTGCTCTTGTCAGACTCGGCGTGAGCCTGGCTCGAGCACCTCCCTCCCTCACAGATCCACGACTGGCGCGACTTGGTTAGGGTCTTCGTTGGGAATTTTCGAGAACACGACGACGTCCGGAAACTCTGGGACCTTAAAATTGCCGCCCGAAGCCAGTGCGAGTCTCCGAGGTTTCATCCGGCGCTTCTCCAAGCAAAGGCACCGAGTGCCTTGGCGTCGGCGACTCGGAGATCGTCGAGCTTTCTCTCCGGCACCACCTACCGGGACTGTGCGGGAGCTAGGTCGGAACATGCCACGCACGGCTGCTGCGCGCCTCGACATCGCCACCAACCGCCTTGGGCGAGGAGGCCGTCGGTGCCATCTTCCCCAACAGCGACGCCAAGGGAAACCGGAGGGACGAGGCCCCGGACGCCTCGGCCTCCCACCTCCCTAAGAGAAGAAAAAAGGGGCCTGGAGAAGCGAGGAGGTCATGGGGTTGATCTGGTCGGGGCCGAGAAGCATAAGAATCCCGAGGCCCCAAAGGCCCTAGACCTTTCGACGACATGCTCAAGAAACCATGCCCTTATCACCAAGGCCCGGTCAAGCACTTCCTCGAGGATTGCACCATGCTGCAACGTTACTACGCCAAGCTCGGGCTACCCGATGACGACGCCAAGCAGAAGGGCGCCGGCGACCGGGACGAGGACAAGGACGACGGGTTCCCCGAAGTACGCAATGCCTTCATGATCTTCGGCGGGCCCTCGGCATGCCTTACGGCGCGGCAGCGCAAGAGGGAACGCCGAGAAGTCTTCTTGGTCAAGGTAGCCACCCCCAGTACCTTGACTGGTCTTGAGAGGCGATCACCTTCGATCGAGATGACCACCCCGACCATGTTCGAATCCCAGGCGGTACCCATCGGGTTGTCGACCCGATCATCAGCAACACCCGACTTTCCAAGGTGTTGATGGGGCCGAGGCGTGGCCTCAACATCCCTACGCCAACACCCTAGAACTCTTGGAGATCGACCGGTCGAGGCTCCGAGGCGATGTCGCACCCTTCCACGGCATCGTGCCAGGGAGGCGCACGCGACCCCTCGGGCGCATCGACCTTCCTGTCTGCTTCGACACCCCATCCAACTACCGCAAGGAAGTCCTCACCTTCGAGGTAGTCAGATTCGGGGGAGCCTACCACGCCATTCTGGGGCGGCCGTGCTACGCCAAGTTCATGGTAGTGC